CCTTTCCCCAATCCACTCTCACTGAACCTCTCCTTGAATGACCAACAGTAGGTCCCAGCCTAAGCTCCACTTAGTGGTTATTGTTTGGGCCCTGATGGCTGCAAGTGAATGTAAATAGCAATTATTTGTACTTTGCCCAGAAATCCTGAGAGTCTTCCCCTCCCATTTATTTTTTTTTTGACTAGGTAAAAGAGGCCATTCTTTGTCTCATTTCTTCCCTAGCCTGAATCACTGAATAGGTGTTGTCTTAGTCCAACTGAGAGCTGGGAAAGCCCTCAGCTTAAAAAAGCCAAGATCTCCCATTGAATACAGAGCCATCTCTAGTCATCCTGATTTATGTCTTACCACTGGACCCAGATGGCTCCAGAGGAGAAAATGAGGCTGGTGACTTTGCACAGCCCTCCCTCACTTAACTCCAATTCACTTGTAAGTCACAGCATCACCTTCCTGATGCCATGGTCCTTTTTGAGAATGAAGGACAAACAACAGCAGCAACAACAACAACTTTGCAGGCGGAGAAACTAAGGCAAAAGGATTAAGTGACCTGCCCAGGGTCACACAGCTAGTAAGTGTATGAGGCCAGATTTGAACTCAGGAACATGAGTCTTCCTGACTCTAGTCCTAGAACTCTATCCTCTGTGCCACATAGTTGCCCTATGTTTGAGTGTCCTAGAAACCCCAAAAAGTTAAAGCTGGAAAAGCCCTTATATGTCATCTATACATTTAGATCCTCTGATTTTAGAGGAGAAAACTGAAAACAGAGGCTTTAAGTAACTTCCCCAAGGTCACACCACTAGCTGGGATTGGAATCCAAGGCTCTTTATTCCTACTTAGTCCAGTTCTCTTTGCATTATAGCAAACTGAGCAGGCAGGGAAGGGGAGATTTGAGACCATGATGTGACCCTATATATATCACCTGACCAACATTTAGGACTGTGTAGTGTTCAGAAAAAATACTTGAGAAAAGGATTCAGCTAATATGGGCTGGCCTAAAGAAGAAAGGGGCATCAAGATAGTGCAGTGGAGAGAGCACTGGGTTTGCAAACAGGAAAAAATTCTTCTTCATGGGTTCTCATTCAACTTCAGACATTTACTAGCTGTGTGATCCTGGGTAAGTCACTTAACTTTATTTGTCTCAGTTTTCTCATCTATAAAATGAGCTGCAGAAGGAAATGGCAAACCACTCCAGTACCTTTGCCAAGGAAAACTCAAAGGGTGTTGCAAAAACTTGGACACAACTGAAAATGACTAAACAACAACAACAACAATTAGTAAGAAAAAATTACTGAATAAAATAACACCTTAAAGACCAAATTGGCCAAATGGTAAAAGAGGCACAAAAATTCACTGAAGAAAATCCTTATGAAGCAGAATTGGCCAAATGGACAAGGAGGTACAAAAATACACTGATGAAAAGAACTTAAAAAAAAGTAAAATTGGCAGAATGAGAAAAGAGGTACAAAAGCTCCATAAAGAAAATAATTCCTTAAAAATTAGAATTTGGCAAATGGAAGCTAATGACTCCATGAGACATCTAGAAACAATAAAACAAAGCCAAATGAATGGGCGAGAAAAAAGGAAAATGTAAACTACTTCATCAGAAAAAAAATAGAAAATAGATTGAGGAGAGATAATTTAAAAATTATTGGATTATTTGAAAGCCATGATCAAAGAAAGACCCTAGACATCATCTTTCAAGAAATTATCAAGGGAAACTGTCAAGATATCCTATGACCAGAGAGTAAAATAGAAATTGAAAGAATCCACCAATCACCTCCTGAAAGAGATCCCAAAATAAAATTCTCAAGAATATCATAGCCAAATTCGAGAACTCCTAGGTCAAAGAGAAAATACTTCAAGTAGCCAGAAAGAAACAATTCAAATATCATGGAGTCATAGTCAAGATGACACAAGATTTAGCAGCTTCCACATTAAAGGGGTGGAAGGCTTGGAATGACATTCTGGAAGGCATAGGAGCTAGAATTACAACCAAGAATAACCTACCCAGCAAAATTGAATGTAATCCTTCAGTGGAAAAAATGGATATTTAATAAAATTTCATTAAGCAGTAAGCAAATGTCATTTAGCATTCCTGATGAAAAGACCAGAGTGGAATAGAAAATTTGACATTCAAATGGAAGACACAAGAGAAGCATAAAAAGGTAAACATGAAAGAGTAATCATAAGGGACTCAATAAATTTAAACTGTTTACATTTATATGAGAAGATGATACACGTAACTCCTAAGTACTTCATCCTTATTACTTATTACTTTGTCCTTATGAGGGCAGTTAGAAGGAGTTTACAGGGACAGAAGACATGAACATGAGTGGATTATGTTGAAATGATCTCCAAAAAAATGAAGAGGTGAGAAAGAGGGATGCACTGGGAGAAGAGGGAAAAGAGAGGTGGAATGGGGAAATTTTTCTCACATAAATGAGGCATGCAAGGAAGAGCTTTTACAATGGAAGTGGAAATGGGTGTATGGCAGGCAATGCTTGAAACTTATTCCCATCAGAATTGGTTCAAAGAAAGTAGATTTTATTTACACACACACACACACACACACACACACACAGATGCACACACTCATTCAGTTGTGTATTAAAAATGTAACTTACCCAATACAGAAATGGGAGTAGAAGGGGATAAGAGAAAGGAAGGGATGATAAAAGGGAAGGCAGATTAAAGAAGGTGCTGGTTAGAAGCAAAATAAACTCTTGAGGAGGGATAGGGATGAGAGAGAGGATGAAACAGATGGAGGTAAAAACACAGTCATCATAACTGTGATTCTGGAGTGGATGAGCTCACCCATAAAACAGCAGCAGATAGCAGAATGGATTAGAAACAAGATTCCAACAATATGTTGTTGACAAGAGACACATTTGAACCAGAAAGACAAACACAGAGTTAAAATTAAGGACTGGAACAGAATCTAAACAGTTAACATAAAAAAAAGAACCAGGGATAGCAATCCTAATCTCAGAGAAAGCAAAAGCTCTTTAATTAAAAGAGATAATCAGGCAAACTACATTATGCTAAAAGGTACCATACACAATTAAGGAATATTTTTTAAAATTGCAGGAAGTTTCTCTGATAAAGGCCTAATTTCTCAAATATATACTGAGTAGAGGACTGAGTCAAATTTATAAAAATAAAAGCCATCTTCCAATTGATAAATGATCAAAGGGCAGTTTTCAGAAGAAGAAATCAAAGCTATGTATAGGCATATGAAAAAATGTTCTAATTCACTAATGATTAGAGAAATACAAATTAAAACAAACAGAAATAACAAATGCTGAAGGGGATGAGGGAAAAATATGCACACCAATGAACTGCTGGTAGAATAGTGAAGTGATCCAACCATTCTGGAGAACATTTAGAACTAGCTTAAAAGGGCTATACCCTTTGACCCAGTAATGCTACTACTAGGTCTGTATCCCAAAGAAATTAAAGGAAAAGGAAAAGGGCCTGTATCTATATGTACAAAAATATTTATAAAGCTCTTTTTGTGGTGGCAAAGAATTGGATATTGAGAGCACGCTTATCAATTGGGGAATGGCTGCACAAGTTGTAGCATATGATTGTGATAGAGTATTATTATACTAAAAGAAATCATGAGGGGAGTGGTTTCAGAAAAAATGGCAAGAGCTATATGAACTGCTGCAAAGTTAAGTGAGATTAATCAAGAGTTCACTGTGCACAGTAACAACAATGTTGTAATGATGGTCAACTATGAAAGGCATTGCTACTATGATTAATAAAATTATCCAAGACAGTTCCAAAGGACTTATGATGAGAAAATGCTATCCACTTCCAGAGAGAGAACTGATCAACTCTGAGTGCAAAATGAAGTAAAATTTTCTCACTTTTTCTTTTTTTGAAACAAGGCTAATATGGAAATATGTTTTGCATGATTTAATAACATTTCAGTGTGTGTGGGAATATGTGGGAGGATAGGAGAGAATTTGGAACTCAATTTTAAAAAGAAAAGAATGTTAAAAATAAATGAATAATAACTAAAAATCAAATTACATATAGACATTTATTTCATTACTCTTAAAATGGTTTTCAATTTCATTTCTAAACTCAGTAGAGCTTTCTTTTGCATTGAATTATAAAATTAATTTTTAAGTTTTATCTTTCTAATTTATTTTATATGTCTATCTAAATTAATTTATTTTCTTTATTTTCTGATACACATTTCTCTCTATGGACCACTTTGTTTTTCATCCAAAATTTTTGCTTGATACTTCATTGTTGTCATTTTCTTTGACAAACCAATTTACTGATTCTGTTATTTTTCTCTAACCTACTATTGCTTTGAACTTACATTATTTAGTCTTTATTTGAGGCTGAATCTTGACTGCAAACTCTCCTTGCTGATAATTATTACTACTTCATGGTCAATAAAGATTGAATTTTGGGTTAATAGGTTTTTTATTTGGTTAGAAGATCTTTAAGGATTAGCATGTGCTTATTTTTTTAAAGTGTGTTCAGAGTTGAAAAACCTGTATATTTCTTATGAATCGCACTTAAGAATCAGTAGATGTCAAATATATATAGTCCCATAAAATTCTTGTCAGCCTTCCTTTTTAAGAATTTATCATTCTGTTAGACTTGTCTAGGTCTGAATGGGACACATTGAGTTCCCCTAGTTTCAAGTTCCCTCTCAGCTTCATACTTGTCATCCATTTTTCCTATAGGTAATTGAGAGTGTTCAATTCAATTCAGCAAGTATGTATTAAGCCCCAGCAACGTCCTATGTTTTGGGCATACAGAGAACAAAATCAAATAATCCCCACTACAATATGACTTACATTCTACTGGGAGCAAGGGAAAATATATACTAAGATGAAATAGGAAAAGCTATTATATGTAGCAGGGCAAGCAGGTACAATTATTTTCATATAACAGAACACATACATCAATTTGGCCAACAAGTATGCATTCCTTATTCTCTCTCAATTAGGGGCAGATTGTGAGAGAGCAATCATATGTCAGGACTTTCTTGAAAGACAGAAGAAGGGTGTGAGCAGTCCAGAGAAGGAAGTACTGGGGGAAGGATAAATTAGATATCTTTGTTTAATATGATAAAATGATATCTCTCCACGTTCATAGTCAAGGAAAATGCCAACCTTCAAACTGGGCACACTGATTTGGTGGTATTTTTTATGGACTTGGGAATCAAAATTGTGCTGGGCTATGGTATAAAGATAGTACAAATTCTGCTTCTGTACAGTCACAAGCATAAAGAAATCTTGAGAATCTTTTGTTTTTTTACAGATGCCAACACCCCAGTCAGTATTATTTGGCATTTCTGCTTCCCAGTAACATCTCATTGAAATGAAGGACTGAGTAGGAAGAACTTTGGCAAAATCTATAAATCTCCCACTATTATTGGGCACTTCTTCCTGGACACCTCCATATCTCACACTCTTCAAATCTTCAGATATGATGAAACTAAGAGCAGCTGTGTTAGAATCCAAAGTGCTGTTCACTGTGGAGAGACGAAGAGTTGATTCAATCAAAGGTAATAGCAAAGTTGTATTTATTACTGGGATAGGTGACAGGAGTTTAGACTAGGAAGTGACAATCTATGTATCACTGATATTCAAAGAAGTAACTTGGAAAGTTCAGTACAGCTGCATAGTATGAGGAACAGAATGATCTTTGGTTTGTCCAGTAGCTGAGAGATTGTGTTATATGCTTATTTGCAAAATCTGGTTCTTTCTGCTTGCCTCTTGCTAAGACTTATAAAACAAATGTATAACCAGGGCTATCATAGATCATATTGGTGTTTTTAGATGTGAAATTGGAGTCATAACATGCTGGCTCATCTGTGGACTATTTGAAGGCTGCACAAAAGGAAGGTAAGTACTGCACCCTTTGAGTAGGGCCTTGGAAAATTGATAAGGATATTCCCTACATCTTTCTTTCTTTCTTTTTTTTACCTTTTTCTTTCTCCTTTTGTCCATCTTTCTTCCCTCGTTTCTCTATCTCTTTCTGTGCCTGAATCTTGTATGTGTCCCTCCTTTCCTCTTAATTTTTCTCTCTTTCACCTTTCCTCAGGTTTATTTTTTTTTCCTTGGTAAGGATGGTATACCCCAATAAACCCCATCCCCCTTCTCCAAGTACATCATCCTTTGTATTCTTTAAGCTTTCATATCATTGTCATTTCTAAGAAGCTTGATGAACTGTAGTCCTAAGTGGTAATGTTGTTGTCACTCTTTAATGGAAAAAGGCTTTGGGCAGTCATCAGACTCATCAGTGGATCATTCCCTTTCCATACAATGGAACCAACACATAATGGCAATGTTTAGATTGGTTTGGGTAAGGAGAACTAGAAGAGTCTGGAGAATAAGGGTGCTATTTTGATTCTCTTCACTGTTTTCCTTAGCAGCTCTATTCATTCTTAGGGATTTAACTTTCATGCAGATGGTCCACCCCAAAATTTATCTAATACAACCTCTCTTCTGAGATACAGATCTGCATATTCATCTACTTACCGGAAAACTCTGCCCCAGGATTCCAATGACATATGAACCTTAACATGCCTAAAACAGGTTTCATCATCTTTACCCTTATCCTTGAGATCCTCAAGATAAGCCATTTGAGCATGAATTGAAAGAATGGGGAATATTTATTTTGGAGAAGAGAAGACTTAGGAGCCACATGATAGCTATCTTCAAGTACACAAATGGTTTTCATATGAAAGGAAGATAAAATTTTCTCTGCTTGGCCTCTGCTGCTAGATCAAGGAGAAATGGTTAAAAGTTGCAAAGAGGCATATTTAGCCTCAATGTGAGGAAAGCCTTTCTGAGAATGAGACCATTGTAAAAAAGAATGCCTATGTTTGGAATTATCAGGCTTCTCTTCATTATATGTTTTCTTTCTTTTTTTTTTTTTTGCTAGGCAATGGGGTTAAGTGACTTGCCCAGGGTCACACAGCTGGTAAGTGTCTGAGAATGGATTTTAACTCAGGTCCTCCTGACTCTGGTGCTAGTGCTCTATCCACTATACCACCTAGCTGCCCCCACTGTATGTTTTCATGCAAGGAGGGATAGATGAACCTTCTTAAATATTTTGTAGAGAGAATTATTATTTGGATAAAGGTGGTCTACCTAATAATCACTGAAGTTTTTTCCAACCCTGATGTTCTGGGATTGTGTGAAGGCAAAATGGATTTTGATCCAAAGGAAAATTGGACAAGACATAGAAATGTGCTGCCTGTTTGTTACTGATTTTCTCACTCACCTTTGAAATTGAAAATCCTTTCTATGATTCTAGGGATGGGATACATGGTCATGTTTATAGGAAGGATTTCTATTTCCCTCTGCAGTACAGAATCATTCCTAGAGAAATCAAATATCAAATTTAATTATTAAAGAATACATGGCATAGTCCCCATTGCTCCAATTAGTAATGTTTATTAGCTTAATTTTTTTTATCTTTCCTAATGAATAAAAAGTAAAATTACTTGGTTAACACTACTTTCATAACCTGAAGGAAGAAAAAAATTATATGGTAAGGACAATGATGTATTTGAGTTAGGAAAATGAGACTTTGGAAATGATCACCTATTCATTGTCTTGAAGAGACCCTGCGATTAGAAAGAATCTTGTAGTTTCTAGCTCTACAACATGTCACACATGTGTCCCTTATCTCCTCTCATATAACTATTAACTTAGTTTAGGCCTTCCTCACTTCTTATCTAGACTCTTAGTGTGATCTCCTAATTTGTGTTAATATATTTATTGCCTATAATCTACCCAGAACTGAAGGCCATATCAATTAAATTCCAATGATTCCCTATTATTTCAATAATAAAACTCTTCTATTTAGTCATTAAAATTCTTCACAATGTGGCTGCAACTTATCTTGCAGATTCATTTTACATTATTATCCTTCATTCCCACTATATTTCAGCCTCATTTTATATTACTCTCTTTCTTTCCTTCTATGTTCCAGTCTAACTTGTCTCTGTGTTCATAGAGAATAGGACAGAGTTGAACTTACTACCTTAGGAGTTAATAAAGAGAAAAAGAGGAGAGACTAGTCTGTCTGGGGAGAGTACTGAGAAGTGGAGGTGCTGGAGGTCATTATGAACACAAAGAATGAGTTTAAGGATCATAAAGCAGAAGAAAAGATGGAATACTAAAATATGATGAGTAAAGGAATTGCAGATTTCTGGAGCATTGTTGTTCATCCTTCATTTTCAAAGATCGGTGACATTATGGTGTGATGTCTTGAAGTGCTTGTGAATTCCATTTAAGTTAGGCAGAGATGCCATCAAAGTGGCAGAACAAAAGCCAAGGAAACTGGCAATGGCTTGGGATGTAATGGATGACCTTGGTGTCTTTGATGTCTGACCAAGCTCTAAGTACTCTGTAGTGCCTGCCTCAGCCATCCTCACGACCACTGAAACAATTTGTTCTCATCTACCCATTCTACTGGCAGAAGTCTTCACATGACTGGGGTAGACATCACCCTAACTCACCAATAGGTTTGAGGCCTGTCAGTTACCCTCAACATGGTTAGCCATTTGTCCAGATGGTTTACTAGGGGGTGGATGCTGCACATATACAGTTTCTTGGAACCATAGTTAAGAGTTGAGTGACAGGTGGGTACCAAAGATGGGTAAGCAGTTCTGGAAAGGGCTTGGCAAGCCCTCAGAATGGAAGTGTGAACAAAATGGAGGAGATATCGAACACTTGTGGGTGATGACAAGATCTGTGAGTGACTGAGGTGGAGTGGAGGGGTAACTCATTGGAACTGAATAAAGTGAGGAACTTGGAAGTAAGGGTCCTTGAGGTAGGGTCGATATATATGTGGAAGTCCTATGGTATTGGGAGCATGAGCTGAGATAGAAAGAAAAAAATGAGTAGCCATTGAATTCTTTGAACAAGGAAGGAGAATGAACTGGGAATGGGGATTAGTTAAAAAAATGTCACCTTTACCTTGATTGGGTACTTTATTAGACTAGAATGAACCTCAGAGGAAGTTCTGTTGGCAGAGGGAGAGTATGGAAATGGTAATGGAGTGCAAGGAGTATTCTGACTCCTGAGGCAGAATGGTGGAGGTATGGAAGTGTAACCAGGACAGGAAAAGGTAGCTAGGGATGAAATGCCCTTCATCTTATTTCCTGTGGCCTTACCTGGAGCAAATCCACATCCGGTTTCTTACACTCTTCTTCTATCTCTATGATTCTCTTCCTTAATTCTTGACTTTGATGGGACAGTTGGCATATTCTCTTGCTCAGGCTTTCCAAATTGGTCTTCCCCTCCATTTGTATACATGATAGAGATGCATCTTTCTCCTCATCCAGGAATTGTTGCATTTTCTCAAATTCAGACTCAATATTTTTCTTTTGAATCTCTATTTCCTCCTATAAGGAAACAGATGAGGACAATGAAATACAGGAAATAACATGACACTAAATGACAATGAGAGAATAACAGACTTTTTGGCTTCCAACTGGATTTTGAATTTGTTCATTTCTGAGACTGAAGTTGGCCACGGACAATGAGTGCCCTCTCTGTGCTGCACCCACTACACTGTCCATTCTCCTGCTTGAAATCACCACTTCCTTTCCCATGGTGCTCTCTGACTGCTATAATGTAATTGATTTGGAATCTGAAGGCCTGACTACAAATGCCTCTTGTGCCGCTTACTATCTATCTTACTATCTTTAGGTAAAGCAATTAGCCACTCTGATCATCAGTGTCCTCCTTTGTGGAAGCCAGTATATTCACTACCTCTCTCAAAGGGATGCTCTGGAGGATGACAGCAGACAATGCATTTCAAATGCTGAAGATAGATACTTGTCTTTATGAGTGCAAATTTAATATTCTCATTAGCCCTCTGTTTAACAGCATTCTCAGTTTTCCTCCACAAATGAGTCACAGTTTCTTGGAGCTTCTCCTATAGTAATGAATTTAAAAAGAAAGAAAAAAACAACCATGAATTCTTGTATGCCTGAGAGATTTCAGCTCTAAGTATCCAAACCTATTCATGTGTGAATGACTGAGATCAATGAATAATGAGACAGTAATGCTCTTAGTTTTGAAGCTACAGATACAATTTAAAACGGAGCCCATGGTCTATGTGGGTAGTGATTCAATGTCCCAGTCTTTCAGCAAGCAAAAGCCTGAGATGTAACAGTGGTCTTCTTTCTCCTGTTCTCTGCCAGAAGGAGGTAACTTTCCAGCGTCAAACACAAACAACAAATGTTGCTGAACTTTCTTGGCCTTCTCTGTAGGAGGTGAAGAAACGGGTGTTATATTTTTTATTATATCAAGTGAAGATAGCCCTGATAATCTCAGATTCCCAGAATCAATTCTCTAAAAAGAACAGAGTTTCTTCCAGAGCAGAAAACCAGGGGACATTTCAATCAAAACTAGAGTAAGTTCTTGAACATTAAGGGAACATTTCTGTTGATCTCAATCCATAAGGAAAGGCTCAGGCTGAGGCTGAATAACATAGCACATTTCAATTCAGCAATAGTATTTTGAGTACTTAGATACAGCAGCTGGCTTGTTATCTCTTCCTAGGATGATCTTTGCAGACTAGAGTGCAAATTTAAAATGTACTTGTGGTTGGGTGATGAATCCATTACTTACCCTGATGTCCTCAGCAGCCTCATCTATGCAACAGAGTGTATGAGCCTTATGCTTGTTGGACTCAGAACAGGACATACAGATTGGGCTCTGGTCATCTTCACAGAACAGTTTCTGCACTTTCTGGTGTGTCTCACACTTGCTATGGCTTCCAGGGTATTGCAAACAATGAGGTCTTAGTCTTTTGGCAATGGCTATCAGTTTCCCAAGATGCACATTGACTTTGAAAGCCCTAACCTGGGAGACACTCCTGCACTCTGGGCAGGAGAAAGAGGGAGAGGCTTGCTGCCAGCTCCTGAGGAGGCAGCTATGGCAAACACTGTGACCACACTCAATGGACACTGGGTTTTCCAAGTAATCCCTGCAGGTGGAGCAAATGAGCTCTTTCTGGAAGTTTTCAATCAGCTCTGGGAAAGAGGCCATGTTTCTGAGGAAAGAGAATGGAAAAGGTCAGTGACTGGGTCTGGGGATAGAAGTGCCCTTATTACTTGGCCACTTCTGATCTACCAACTTTATCATTTCATTTAGCTGTTTGGTTTTTGGTTTGTTTTTTTTTTAGTAATATAGTGTGTGTGAGAGGAAGACTGAATTTTTCATATTATGCAGTTGGGGAAACTGAGGTGAAAAATAGGTGAGCATTTTGATTACCATCTGATCTCTTAAACTCTCTAGACTAGCTAACATAGCTCAAGTAAAATACTGTTTTAAATGAGAATAAAAACTTTATTTAGATAAATTTGCTGTTATCTTGTTCTCTACCAACCCTTGTTGATAATTTCAGATAATTTCGGTTATAATACCTTACATAACTTTCATTTTCTCCTTTCTCTCTCTCTCCCTCTCTCTCTCCCCTTCCTTCTCTTTCTTCACACTTTCTCTCCTCCCCCTTCTCTCTTTCAATATCTTCAAACTTTATTTTGATGTTTTTCACTTTCCTTTTGGGGAAATTCTACACTCCTCATCAGAGCTTCACCTGTAATAATGACTGAACAAATAAAACAAGAGTTCTCCTAAGCCAAACGACACATAAAACACATCTTAAAAAGAGCAAGCAGGAGCAGCTAGGTGGTTCAGTGGACAGGACATCAGCCTTGGAGGCAGGAGGAACTGAGTTCAAATCCAACCTCAGAAACTTACTAGCTATGTGACCCTGGGCAAGCCACTGAATCCCCATTTTCCCCCAAAGGAAAAGAAACAAATAAGGTACATTTTTTGGGGAACCAAGATTAGTCATTATAATTACAGTTTTCGTTTCATCCTTTGCATATGAATGTCTGTAGTAGGAGGCTGTGTAGTGTAGTATAGGCTGGAGGAGGAGGCAGCAATAAAGGCAGAGAAAGAGTGGTCAGACAGGTAGGAGTAGAACCAAGAGAAAGTGGTGTCCTAAAAACCTAGAGAGAAGAGAGTATTGAGGAAGAGAGAGTTATTGATTATATCAACAGCTGCAGAGAGATCAATGAGAATGAAGAATGAGAAAAGGCCATTGGACTTGGCAACTAAGAGATCATTAGAAACTTTGGAGAGAGCAGTTTCAGTGGAATGATAAGAAGCTGGCTTGGAAGGGATTAAGAAGAGAGTGAGAGGAGAGAAAATGGAGGTGCCTAGTATAGATGGCCTTTTGGAGGAGTTCATCTGCAAAAGACAGGAGAAAAATATAACTATGGGGGATGGAAGGATCAGATGAAGATTTTTTCAGGAAAGGGGAAATAAGTCCTAGAAAACGATCCAGTAGAGAGGGAGAGGTTGAAAACAAATGAAAGAGTGAGGATGACAGTGTGGGCAATCTGTTATAGGAGATAGAATGTAATGGAATCACTTGAAAAGTAAATGGTTAGTCTTGGTAAGGAGTAAAGTCACTTCATCATGTGAAACAAGAGTGAAGGAGGCAGATGGTACCTGAGTGATAGGAGCTAAGGAAGAGAATAGAGGAGGGACTTCAGAGTGAATGACTTCATTCGTTTTTTTTTTTTTTCTTTAAAATATGAAGCAAAGTTCTCAACTGAAAGACTGGGTTTAAGAGGATTCATGGGAGGTTTGAGGAGGGATGAACAGGTTTGGAAGAGCTGCTGTGGAGAGTAGGATAGTGAATTGAAAAGGGAGCTATAATAGGATTGCCTAGCAGTAGTGAAAAATTCAATTGAGGGTAAATAACATAAATTTGTAGTGGACTCAGTCAGAATGGTTGCATAATGTTTTCCACCTTCATTCAACAGCATGTGTGCAAGCATTAAAGCAATAAATGTTGGTTGTGATCCAAGGCTGTGGCTTGGCATTATCGGGGATATAAGGGGGATAGGGATTCAAAAGAGGAGGACAATGTAGAGTTGAATTGGTTCACTAAGGAGTCAATATGGCGAGAAGACAGTGGCTAGTGCAAGCGAGATGTCCTGGGAGAGAATTAAAGGATCAAGGGATTGGAGGTCAGTGAATAATAATAGGGTTATGTAAGGGAAGGAAAAATGAGAAGTAAAAATTCAATAGATTATGGTCAGATAAAGGATTTTAGAATTTTTGAGCACGGGTATAGTACATCTGTAGGTGATGACAAGATTAAAGATATAACCATCTTTGTGTGCAGCTGAGGTAGGGTAGGGGAATGGCTCATAGTAGGAGAGTAGGTTGAGAAACTAAGTGTTAGGGTATTTGAGGGTGAATCAATATGTATACTGATGTACTCTATTATGAGAACAGGTATTAGTGTAGAAAAACAACTCTCCTGGATCTATTTTCAGGTCAGTTGTTTTTCCAATGAGATATTTCACATTGTTTTCTAATTTTTCATTATTTTGGGTTTGTTTTACAGTGTCTTGATTTCTCATAAAGTCACTAGCTTCCAATTGCTCTATTCTAATTTTTAAGGAAGTATTTTCTTCAGTAATCTTTTGGACTTCCATTTCCATTTGGCAAATTTTGCTCTTTAGGGCATTCTTCTCCTCATTGGCTTTTTGGACCTCTTTTGCCATTTGGGTTAGGCTATTTTTTAAGGTGTTATTTTCTTCAGTATTTTTTTGGGTCTCCTTTAGCAAACTGTTAACTTGTTTTTCATGATTTTCTTGCATCACTCCCAGTTTTTCCTCTACCTCTCTTGCTTCTCAAAATCCCTTTTGAGCTCTTCCAAGGCCTGGGACTGATTCATATTTTTCTTGGAGGCTTTGGATGTAGGAGCTTTGGCTTTGTTGTCTTCTTTGGTTTTATGTTTTGATCTTCTTTGTCACCAAAGTAAGATAATATAGTCCGACTCTTTTTGTGCTGCTTACTCAATGATCCTGGCCAATTACTTGAATTTTAAACTCTTTGTTAAGGTAAAAGTCTGCTTCCAGTGTAAAGAGTGTACTGTCCCAAGCTTTGGGGGTTTGTGCAGTTGTTTTCAGAGGTACTTCTAGGCACCTGTAAATGTTCAGTTCTTCCAAGGTGGTATAATAAGGCGCAAGGTGTTTCCTCTCCACCACCACAACAAGCTCCACCACGCCAGTGCTCCTCCTAGCCCCAGGACCACCCCTCAGAACTGTGATGCAGATCCAAGCACCAGTAAAGCAAGAGATTCCTGCCTCAGCACTGGCAAAGAGATCCCTGAAATAGTCCTCTGAACAACCCCTCAATTCCCCCTCAGTCTGTGGGCTGGAAGCTCAGGAAAAAGCCGCGGCCCCAGGCTACACTCAAGACTTGCAGCTGAGACCTACCTCCTCTCTTACCGCAGTCACAGACTTTTCCCACTGACCTTCTAAGTTGTTTTTGGCATTCAGGGGTTGAGAAGTCTGGAAAATGCCATAGCTGCCCACGATTCAGTCATCTGAGGCCTGCTCCAGCCTCGCTGTGGCCTGCGTGTCCACACCGAACTGCGCTCCTCTCCCTGCCCGGCGCAAGATACCTTTCCGATCAACCATCCAGGCTGTCTTTAGCTGGATATTTGTTTCACTCTGTCTTTTTGTGGGTTCTGCTGCTTTAGAATTTGTTTAGAGCCATTTTTTTTGGTATTTGGAGGGCTTTGGGAGAGAGCTCAAGACAGTCATTACTTTCCCTCCACCATCTTGGCTCCACCCCCCTATTGTTACTTTTCCTTTTTGAATTTGTCAGTGTTGATCCCTTCTCCCATTTTTTTTATTAATTTATTTTGATTTATCAACAATAGCTCCCATAAGCTTTTTTGTTTTATTTTGTTTTGTTTTTTAGGCAATTAGGGTTAAGTGACTTGTCCAGGGTCACACAGCCAGTAGGTGTTAAGTGTTTGGTCTGAGGCCGGATTTGAACCCAGGTCCTCCTTACTTCAGGGCCGGTGCTCTATCCACTATGCCACCTAGCTGCCCCCTCCCTTTTTTTTTGTTCCATAAGCTTTTGAGTTTAAAATTCTCCTCCTCCCTCCCCAAGATGGCATGCAATCTGATATAGGCTATACATATACATTCCTATTAAACATTTTTACATTAGTCATGTTCTAAGGAAGAACTTGAACCAATAGGAGAAACCACCAGAAAAAAGAAACAAAATGAAAGAAAAAAAAAAGCAAATAGAATACTTCAATCTGCGTTCAAACTCCACAGTTATTTCTTTGGATGTGGATAGCATTTTCCATCATGAGACCTTTGGAGATGTCTTAGCTCTTCTCAGCAATGCAAGGATCTAAGTCTATCAATCTTAGTTATAGCACAAGGTGGCTGTTACTATGTACAATGTTCTCCTGATTCTGCTCACTTCACTCAGCATCAGTTCATATAAGTCTTTCCAGGTTTTTCTGAAGTATGTCTGCTCATCATTTCTTATAGCATAATAGCATTACATTCATATACCATAACTTGTTCAGCCATTCACCAATTGATGGGTATCCCTTCAATTTCCAATTCTTTGCCACCACAGAAAGAGCTGCTATAAATATTTTTGTATATGCCTTCTCCCATATTTTAAGTCTCCAAAACCCCTTGATGAAATGTTGCCCAACAACACAGCCCCGGATGGTTAGAATAATGGTTCAGCAAGTGGAAGGGAATGGCAGTCTCTATCCTGACTGGATGAAGAGACTGAAGTGAACCCTAACTATGACAAGGAAAGTGAAATAATGTTATCAAAACTAGAATCTTCTTATGATTTAATGAATTAAGATGCAGGCACAATAGAGTAAATAAAAGGAAAAAGAGGAAATTGTAGGAAATGTGGTTGGGAATGTTGCTTCTGCTTATCACTCAGCAGGGTGATGAGTAGATGATGGGGTATTGACAGCTGTAGGCTGTTGACAAGGAAACATGCCGAATGGGAGATGTAATTGGGGCAGAAACTCATGTGGGGAAATTAGAGCTTCTGATAGGCTGTAAGCTCAGTAGTACCCAGCCAATGGGGAATCGGAGGAGGAACTTGCATTTCAGGATAGGGAATAAAAGACCGTATTTTCATGCCTCAATGATGTGCACACACATGGGACACCCAGCCTTGCT